GCCACCTGGGTGCTAAAGCAGTCTATACTTTGCAGTCATGAGATGACGGAGGAGCTAAAAAAAGGGTCATTGCTTCCATCTGTCAGTGGCTCAGGTCAGAGAGAAGAAAAGAATTCAGCAATTCCAGTATCAATAAAAATTTGGAGTTACTACCAGTTAGATGTACACTAGATGTAATTACATGCTAACCATTAGATTCCCTTAGTAAATGGTTCATTATGGATAGTATTTCCACAGAATAAGTAATTTCTTAATATTGGGGCACTTATAAGTTTAAAGATTTTAAAATATTGCATGCACTAAGTAAAACTGTAACTTTTTTTTAGATTGTTCATTTAGCTAAAAAGGTGGTATATAAAGCAGAAATGCATCCAATGCATTTCTGTCCCTGTAGTTTTGTCATCCATGAAATCAGAAATTATATTTGATTAGAAGTATCAAAATCTTCATGGTAAATAAGTTTGTTCATAAGGGTAGTTTTATTCTTTATTTTGTGTACTCACACAAACTCTGGGTGCAATATCAAAAGAATAGGTCAATGACCATAAGTCACACAAAATGTGCAGATCCCATCCTCAAGTTGCACATCTACGTGTAAAAAGGCATAAGGAATCCCTACAGAATGCAGAAAACCAAATGCATGAATTGGAATTCGTTAGTGCTGTAAAAATGAAACCTCCTTCTTTTACCCATTATCATTAGAAAACTGCTATATTGTGATACATTTTGGCCTATAATGAACACTTCGAGACCCAGTAAGATTCCCCACTATTCATCATGACTGCTCCAACATAAAATTCCAAACAGAAACATTTTTTCTAAGAAGGACTTTGTCTCTTTATGAATGTACCTTGTACCCTAAGCAGCAGCTCCAAATGGTGAGGGAAATCCACATAGCCATCCCTTGGTAAAAAAGCCTGGACAACATCAGCTGCCAAGATAGAAATCCAAGTGCAAAGTACCAGTGCAATGTGCCTGAACAGAATATCCAAAACTGAGAGGGTGTTTGCTCAAAATCTAGTAAGACTGTAAAAGTGAAGACAACCATCAGCCACATTAAACACTGATCAGGCAGTTACTAAGACACCTTGGGTGGCAGGGGGAAGACTCAGCTTAAGATCAAGTATAAAAAGCAATAAAATTCCTAACAGTGAGGAGAAAGAAGCAGCCAAAACCTGGTCTGACACCGAGAAGACGCCCTACTGGCATCTCAAGCTGTTGAGGCCCAAGGGAGCACCCTCCCCAGTCACCAGGAACAGCCTTTGTTCTGGCCAGTGGGCTGACAGCACAGGGGACAAGCAGCAGTGTCTGGGTGTCTGCACATCCCCTCGTGGGGTGCTATCCCAGCAGCTGGGGGGGTTAGTGGAGCGTAAGGAACAGCACAGGTACACGTGCAGCTACAGCACCCACATCTCCAAAGGAGACACACATAAATAGGGTTAACACGCCCCTCAAAGGGTGGGCTCTTGTAACCCAAACCTCCTGTTACAGGGATAGAGATGAGCATGTAACTGCAAACTTGTGGGGGAACTGATGCAGAAGGGCGTTTAGATATCTGAAGGTGTGTTTACGAAGGTTTTGTAAGGGTCTAGGACAGTCATTTATCTGTTATATTGCAACTATTACTCCTAAATGTATAGCTCATGGACTAACAGTTAATTACAAGTCAACAAACGACTTGAATTTTAACTTGATTTAAGCGAAGGGTTGTTTTCCCCTACAACAAGCACATGGACTCTCTTCAGTGTTTTCTACTTCACATTAATATGCAGCCTTCAGCAAAACTTACCAGTCTCAGGTAAGTTTCTTCTTCTTTTTTAGTTCTTTTTCCTTCACCTGAGGGCACCTAAGATATTCAGGAAAACAACCAACCAGCTATACAAGTCAGATTTCCCTCAGTACTCAGACTGATTCCAATCAAACTACTACAATATCTGTAGTGCCCCAAAATAACGTCTCCAAAACCTGGACCAAAACAGATTGTCTCTGAAAAGTGAATGTTAAATTCTTGGGTTAGAGAAATGAAAATTGTAAAGGTTTAACACATATCCTAGCTTTTTTAATATGGTTTCTTGAATAAGATACTCTAGTGAATTTAATCCACTAGATCAGATCTTTGCATCAGGAGATTCCAATTAAACACCATATGAAAAATTAGTGTGTTTCTCCCCCTGAAACTGACAAAGTTTAGTTTTAGCTTAAAGACAACATTGAAAAAAGTGTAATTCGTATTGATCTTTTTCAACCAGGGTAAAAAAAAAAAAAGTTAATTTTCTATGGTTTGCTTCTGAACATCTGCTGATGACATTTTTACAAATTAGAGGTAATCAAGAATCCTTTCCCCTGTTTTAACCTCACAAATTCTCAGTCTTCTGAAAGTATAGGAACTGCGAAACCTAACACTTGGGTTACAAAATGTAGGACCTCATTATTATCCCTATATCCTAAGCAGACGTGCATAAAACTCTACATTGACAGATCTTGTAACCAAAGAGACCAAACAAGCCTACTCATTGATCCGCGACTTGGACCCTGAGAACCTTTTGGAGGCTCAAAAATATTAATGTTCATTGAGTATAGATGTACTGCTTCTAAAAATTTGGTTTTTGGTATTTATGGGCTCTTAACTTTTGATTAGTCAATTATCTCCCAGAATTCTTTTTCCTTTATTCTGTAATTAAGATTAAAGCATTCTGTATTATGCATCAGGATTTTTAAAACTAAGCTTAGAAGAGACATTATGTCACCTTAGCAATTACTTTTTAGAAGTCACCCTGCAAAAGCTCATTTTAACATGCACTTAGGGTTTAAAGTAATTTCTAGACTAGCAGCTGGCAACCACATTCTTCTTGATTACAATTTCAGAAAACCATAAAGACTTAAAGCTAAGAAACCCAAATAAAATATAAGTCTTATGTGACAAAAACACCCATTCATAGTAAACTAACTTTTTTCAAATCTATTCTTATAAGTGTCATACAAAGCAAGCAGCTAGAGGAAACCAGAGTAATCTAGAAATCCAAGAAGAAATACTACAGGAAAAAAAAGGCAATTAAAACCACACATAAAAGGCTACTATTCAAATGTAGTCAGCCAGGGAAATGAACCCCTTACCTGTCAGTTGCACGCCCCCTAATTCTAACCAACACTGCTCCAATGCCATATTACTCCCCACTTCTACTACTCCCCAGCCCTTTTCCAAATTAATTGAATATACTTTTTTTCTTCCAAGTGGTAGGAGGAAAATTACTCCTCCATTTCTCTGTCCAGAAGGTACCTTCCCCCATTAACAACAAAATTCTTACCTACTTTACTGTTTGTATATTCCATCCATGGAATCAAAGAGCTGGAAATTTTTCTTTTTCTCTGTAACTTAACTGAGCACTTGAAACAAGCACAGTAGGAGCCCTTCTCCAATTAACATTTACCCAGCACATTCCACCTCCTCATTCCCTTAACACATCTGAGTCACAACCACCAGCTCAAGCGACTGGAAATTAACCTACTAAAGCAAAAATGCATTAAGTTACACAGTCATTTGACACGTAACTGCATAGAAACCTACATTTGGGAAAGTAGAGAGTTTCCCCTTTAAAAAAAATGAATTTTATTGAAGACAGAGAGGACATGTAGAGATATGCAGTATCTTAATACAAGATTCAAGTCCATTGATGTACTATGAAAAAAAAAAAAAAAGGTTTTCAGAGAGACAATCTCTTCTTTTAGATTTAGTCTTAACATTAAGGGTTATAAAGCTTATCAGACCACTTACAGCCTCTTGTCCTTTTCCCAGAAGGGTTACTCTTCTAAGGAAAATGAAAGATGAAGTAATTCCCCTTGCATAATAATAAATTAGGCTTGTAAGCAAATGCAGGACAGATGATTCCTTCACCCCCTTGTCAGGATCTTTTGTACCTTCTGCGTCCATTTCTTATTTAAAGTCAAAGCCTGGTAAATTTAATAAACCCCAAAATCAGACCTTTAAATTGGTCTTCTAGTCAGCTGAATACTGGATGAATAGTTTCTTTTTAAACAGCATTTCTCTTATTTTGAAAACTGAGTATTGGAGGTAACTTTAATATCTGTATTTGTCTTGAATCATAATTCTATAATCCCTAACAGAATACAAAGGCTTGTTCCTACCTTGCCTACTTGGTCTGTGCCACATCATTCTGTCAAACTCCACCTGCTGGATAATCCTCTTACAACAAGCCTAGAGAAGCTTTCGTTTCACCAGTATTGATACAACACCTAGGTAGAATGATAAAACTGATTGAACAGTAAACCTGATTATATATATTCTTCATGCTTTTCCTCTCTCCCACTCTCTATCAGTTCTATAATCAAGTGAAATCACTGGGTAGATTATTTTTTTATAAACACCTCAGGTTAATGGGCCATATTTGTAACTAATACCAATTTCTGGTAATGCAGTTAGATACAGGACAAGTCATAGCTCCATGTCACAGCTAAGGAGAAAAACTTCATGCTTTTCAGCCTCAGATGGTAGAAACACATGAAGTAATGTGCAAACGTAATCTGAATAGTTTTGGTGTAGTTTTAGATGCTATGAGATAAAAGAACAGCTTAAAAAATGCCTTGGAACTCCAAAAGAGTACAAACTCCAGAGAATGCCAATTCTAAGATAACTGGTTACTTTGAAACGTACAAATCCATCTGAGAGCTAAGTGACTCTGCTGCTCCTTTCACTAAATCAAGTCAAATCATGATATGTACCTTCTGTTAAAGCTACAATGAAGCAGCCAACTTTTGCTATGGCTGAGCTCTACTGCTCATGTCCAGAAGTAACTGAATTTGAGGGCTGTAGGTGAAAGGTAGCAATCCAAGATATTTTTGCAATACAGAACTTAACCACTTCCTTATACGAGTCAAACATTCAAATTTCTGATAACTGACAGTAACTTTTTACCCATAATTTGTAACCCACAAAACCATAATAAGTTAGATCTGTGCATTTACTGCTATTTTCTCTTACAATATGTCTTACAACACACTTGCCAGCAAGTATTATTCTTTATTACGATCTACCATCCTTAAGGAATAATTCAAAAGCAATGCAGGGTGATAAACACTCAAGACTTGCAAATCATACCTGGAGTGGTCTGTGATACTGAAATACTAGAAGAGGCATTACATTTGAGAATAGTAATTTAATCAGAAGTTGGAAAAGCATATATTCACTTAAAATACTGCTGACATGTTTCTCTAGAAACAAAAATTGAACACCGCTTTGCACAGCTGATATAGCACAGGCAGTAAAAAAACCCCAGAAAACCCTTTTGCAAGAAGATTATCATTTCCGAATGTCATCACAAAAGAGGGACAAGTGAAGACTGTCTGCAATGAGAAGCTTTATGGAAGCTTCAAGACAGCTATTATTTCTGATGAATAACTATTTTTTTCCTCTTGAAAGAAGTCCATCTATTTTTGCCAGATCTCCAAATGAAACTGTTGCAGAACCTCTCTGGGCTGGTCTTGCCTAAGAAAAAAAAGAAGGAAAAAAAAATACACAGGGCTAATTTTAAGTGAAAATATTTTGTAAAAAGCTTTAGAAAGAATCAGTATTTTCAAAGTACCTTCAAACAGAAAATAGTTCAGCTTCATATTACCTGTGATTCATGGAATTTCCAGCCAATCATGTAGTAGATCTGAAACGTGGCAGGTACTGAGCCATCGCTATTTCCATACATTTCTGTTAGGGCAGGAAGGGAGAGAAAGAAAAAAAAAAAGTACACAGAACATCAGTTCCAAGAAATATTTAGTTTTCAGAGCATTAGAGATAAGTATGACATATTCATCATAATGACTCTTGGTGAAAGATTTGGGACAATAAAAATATCTTATACTGGTGCATCAACATAGTTCAAATCCTGTCATTATAATTAAGGTTAAAAATATCTGTGAAATAAGATATTTTGTTATATTCCAAAACTGTGGGGTGTTTTTATTTAGTTGGTTGGGTTTTTTTGTTTGGTTTTGTTTTGGTTTTTTTTACACAGAGGTCAGAGAAAAAGACATAGAAAATATGCTCTTAGTTACTTCAGATTAACTCATTACCCTTAAATACTTACCTCGGTATATTGCAGCAGCTGCCAACATTGTCTCCCTGTGTAGTAGAGGTTTTCTATTCCAAGAGCAATTACTCTCCCCCATACCTAAAAATATGTTTTAGCTTTAAGAAAAAGAAGATACAGCATATGCAATGAGTTAAGTGTCATGCACTAACAACAGATTTTTATTAAACCAGAACAAATATAGAATCCTCTGAATCTCACTGTAAGAGAGAACAACATACCACAAATAATGAGGCGAGTTTCCTACCTATAAAAATCTAAGCCTTTTCATGCAAATGCTTTGCTATTTAAGGTTCATATTGCTAGGAATGATTTCAAGTTATTAATTCTTCAGCCTAGCCTAAGTCTTCAAATATTTAGGTTTTCTAGTACAATTTATTTTAAGCATGAATATGCTGTTTATTCAGACACACTATTCATATGTGGTTTTTTTAACCAGATAAGCATCAAAATGACTATAGCAAGAGATCCTGAATAAGAAATAAAATAACCAAAATTCTCATCTCTTTTATCACTTATTGCATCTGAATGGTTCTGCAGAGCCTGAAAGTTTTATTTTCATTTAGCAGCTGATCCAGAGTAAGAAGATGCCCTGAATTGCTCTGTAAGTAACAACTAAGGGCATGCAAATTATTGCTTTACGATCCATGACAAATGCAATCAGAATACTAACTCAGTTGTTAAGCATCTCAATTGTTTTTTGCATTCTTATCTTGCATCCTCAGCAGACTTCGATGCGAGGGTCTACTTATTCTCATGGCAAATCAGTTTCCTGAGCGTCCCAACACTTAGGGAGGCTTGCAGGAAAAGTTATTAAGTGGGATATATGCTTCTATCTCCCTTTCAGGGCTTTTCAGCAGCTTCCGCTGAACAAGCTCACAAAGAACAGGAATACACGGGAAACAGAAAATTCATAGCAGGCCACAAAGTAGCAAATCTTTGACTTCTGCTTCCCAACACAAATCTGCTGACAGGCAGGTCCTGAATCACTAGAGATCAGGAAAAAAAAGTAATGCTTCCACTGTTACAATAAGCTTTATTTATTTATATTTAAGGAAGAATTTTTTGACAAAGATGGTGGTGAAACACTAACACAGGTTGCCCAGAAAGGTAGTAGATGCCTCATCCCTGGAAACATTCAAGGTCAGGTTGGATGGGACTCTGGGCAACCTGATCGTGTTAAAGATGTCCCTGCTCACTGCAGGGGAGGGTGGGTTGGACTAGATGACCTTTAAAGGTCCCTTCCAACCCGAATTATTCCATCATTCTATGATTCGGAGTTAAGAAACGCACAGTGAAACCCTTCTGTGTCTGCACCACTGATATACAAAATACATTTCCACAAAGTACATACTTGCCTTGCAAGTCTTCCATCACCTCAAACAACCCTGGGTAGTTGACCTGAATTTCATCAGTATCCTAAAAGAATTGAGGAGGTTAGATTTAGAGCGTATCAAGCTAAAACGGTACCAGTACGCTAACCTTCAGAGCTGCCAACAGAATAGTCATCTGCTACTTCTGTTCAAACTGCATATTTCTCAGAAGAATATACTGTCTTGCCATTTCTTACAAGTTTTGTTTAGCAGCTCAAATGCATTAAAATTTTAATTAAAATGCGGTTATTTTCTTCTTGGTTTAGAAGAAACAGCAAGTGTCTTAAGTTTTTTCAGGCAAGTCTAACAGTCTCTGACATTTCGCCAAGAAGACCATCCAAATTCTACTGGGCCAGTAGCCAAAGACACACTTCAGTTGGTTTCATTAATCACAGTAAAGCCAAGAACAGAGGCAGTGCAGGCTATTTCAGAAACTTACTCAGCAAGGTGCACGACATGCAGAAGGAAGCACTACATTATTAATACATTCATAAATAGTATTTTTTTTTAATATAGCAGCAGCTCTGATGTGCTGGATCGCTCTGATTGTTCTCTTATTTATAATTACCACAGTCAGGGTGTTAAAGCCAGCTCTTGACAGCAGATGTCCCAAATCAGAGACAGCAGTGAATGGCGATACGTGAGGAGAAAACCCCCCTTCTCTCTCCAGTTCTGCCAGCTGCAAAGAGCAGCGAAGCTCATACAGAGTGTCTCCCCCAAACATTGCACCAATGAATACTCCATCGGGCTTAAGAACTTGGTGAATCTACAACACAGGAAAAAAATATTAATTATTTATGTTATTAAACTTATGTAGCTAAGAAGTTCTTAGGACTTTTTTTTTCTTTTAAAGGCACCTAAAAGCAATCATTGTAATAGTTATCACAGATTTTTAACATTGACTGTATTCCACAAGGCAAGCTGCCCCAAAGCTTTTGGTAACACTGCAAGAGAAATAATCTGTCTGAAAAGAGACTGTTTGCTCTTAATAATGAGTGAATACCCAGAAATTACACTTACAGCCAAGAAACACAAAATGCACTGTGGAAATCTAGAGTAAAACTATTTTCAATGGGATGCTCCTAAAACAATATCCTCAATTAATTTACTGCTGAAAATAAGGTAGATTAAGATAGTTTCTGCTTACTTTTACTTTCTCAGACGAGGGCAGCAAAAGTACTTTCTAATGGCTTGATTTAAGAGCAAAGGAGGCCTCTGTTCTCAGTAGTGATCTTTGCACTTCTGCACAGAGTAATGTAATTCTTATAATGTCTGCCCCCACTTATTTTTTACTAGCCAGAAGAGCAATATCGTGACTCAAATGCCAAGGCTGACAAGCTGCTTGCTTGACTAGTTAGTCCTAGCCTCCTTCCTACTGAGAAAACCAATGAATTCACACTTTCTTTTTTCCTTAATTGGCAATGGTCCCTGCTGTAGATATCAAGAAGAGCCACATTACATAATCAGGCTAACGAGACAGCAAAAAGCTTCAACCAGTTTACCTTACTGATCTGAAACAGAATTCTTTTAAACTGGTTTTTAATTAAGCATTAATCGAATTACCTTTTCTACACTAATAAAGAAGACTACAATTGAAATTTAAGCAGTTGAAGGCAGTTTCCATTAGTTAAAGCCAGTGGTCCCAATGTAGGAAATGAGCATTCATGATGAAAGCTGGCCAAGAACTCCAGTTCCCTCCCCTTTGTGGGACATTATAATGTGTCACTTATTTTTACTGTGGGGGGTAAAAATATTTGACACTCCATAAAACACTTACATTCCAGAGAAAATGATGTATTTGTTTCCAAGACTAATTTGTTTTAAGTACTGAAGGCATTTGGATTTCTATTTTTATGATTTCCATAACAGCAGGGTACTCCTATTCATACCAAGAAGTGATAGAATAGCACTGCAATGACTGATCAATTTGAAATAAATGAAAAAACAGCAAACTGTTTAAAATATCCCTTGCTCTTGCTCCAAAGTTGACTGATTTGAAAAAGGTTTTCACCTGCAGGAAGGAGCTGAAATAATCCAAAATAATATTTTTTCAGTAACAGTTTCAGTTTTCCGTCCTCAAGAATCAGAAATCCTTTATCTGATTAAAGTTGTATTTCAAAATAAATAGCTGAGACATGAAAATAATAGAAGTTCCAAAATCAATTCCAGAGAAGTTGATTTAGAAAACTCTTGTACTACAAGTAGTAAGAGCTAACACACAATAAAAATCAAAAGCATTGCCTCATTTTACATTAGTTACCATGATCACAGTGTTGAGAATATAAAACATGTTGCTTCACAGTTATTTATTCCAAACTGATCTGATACAGTAAATTAGTAGAAATATCAACTGATGTTCCTCAAACTGCCAAAAATACCTGTGTGCAGCATGACCTAGTTCTGTGCCTCTTATTTAAAGAAGACTCCGAAGTGTAGAGCATTCTGAATGCAAGTAACAGCAAGTGTTGATTTTTAGTATTAAAAAATGGTTTCTTACCTCTCTAAAAGCCTTAGGAAGGTCATTCACCCAATGTAAACTGAAATAACAGAAGTGTACATTTTATAATCACATATTAAATAAAATTTAGGGAATGTAAATAATTGTTACATTATCCAAATATGTTTCAGAAGCCAAAGCAACAAAATAGTTTCTCAAGCTGCAGGAGTTCTGAAATGCTTGCCTAAAAGCAATACTGAATAAAAACTAGCTCATATAAACAGATTCTTGGTTTTTGTGGGTGGTTGGGGTTTTTTTTGAAGCTGAGAAGATACAAGTCCTGGAAACTAGTCAGTAAAAAGGCAGGAAAGAGAAAAGTTACAAGTGTCTTGAAGGAAAACAAACAAAAAAGTAAGAACCATCAGAACAGCAGTTTTTCCTAACATATACTCCTACTAAATAAGCAAGTACATTTCATACAGCATGACTTAATTTTTTTTAAATTAAAGTCATTAAAAAAAAAGCAAGTCATTAAAATTGTTTAATGGACTAATTATCTATCTTTTTTCTCCTTAAAGTTACTCTTAAAGAACATTATTTGACATCTTTAACCAAAAAATAAACCATAAATAAACTATTAATGCATACCTTAAGCTGCTAACAACAAGATCAAACGTATCTTCTTTGAAAGGAAGGAACTCCTCATCAGCTACAACACTGATTGTAGGGATTTCAGACTTTACAGTATTTTTCTAATGTTGGGTAAGAAGAAAAACCGTATCAGAAACTCACTTCTTTTGCTTTCCTGTGGAATTCCAATTATAGAATTCAAGCACATTAGCATTCAGAAAGCTACTTACTAAAGCATTCTCTGCAATATCAACTTGAATAAGTTTTTCAACTGTTTCCTGCAATAAAATTTTAAAAGTCTATTAAATATTTAAGTTGCTTTATAAGTTGACATTAGTAATTTTTTGGAACACACAGATTTATATTAAGCTGGAAGCAATCTCCTTAATGCTTGATAAAACCTCACATAAAGCAGAAAGCATTTTCTCCTCAGCGTTAATACTTAGTAATTGCTCCCAGGGAGAATAGCTGAGGAAGAAGCAGTAACAGAAAATACCTTCTGCATTTTTAGATATAAGTTCAGTCAGATACAAACCACGGATTAACAGCCAATGAAGTACCTTTATTTACATCACACTGCATGAAGGTTAAACTGTTCACCATTTAGAAGTCTCCATAATGATCTCCCTCTTTAACAACTAAGTGCATCCAACAAAAATTGAGTGAAAAAGATGCATCTCCCTCCTCGAGAATAAGGGTTAATGGTCATACAACAGAGAGCTCCCCTTGCACTGCTATCTGTCTAGTCTTCAGTGTTGATAAACACAGAGTAACAGCCTGCACAACACAGGTCTTTGATACAGAGGATTGTTTTAAGTTATAACAGAGTGCTATTTGAAAACAAAGGGATAAACATGTACTTATTTTAAACGCTTTTAAGTATGAAGAGCCAGTACCTTGGTTAAATGTTGAGCTATGTAACCTCTTCCAGAGCCAACATCCAAAGCCAGAGGAAACGTTCTAAAGGGTAAGTTTAGCAACATAAAACATAATCAAGACTTAAGCTGTTTTAAGTTCTAGTCAGTATTAAGCATTGTCTACTCATTTCCAAATGCCTTTTCGAACTAAGCACATCCAGCATCCTTCCCTAGTTACCACTAGGGTAAAGCGCAGAGAAAGGCGCTCGCAAACCAGCATTTCTTGGGGTGCATCAAGAATAGTGTGGCTAGCAGGTCGAGGGAGGTCATCCTCCCCCTCTACTCTGCCCTCGTGAGGCCCCATCTGGAACACTGTGTCCAGTTCTGGGCTCCCCAGTTCAAGCAAGACAGAGAACTGCTGGAGAGAGCACAGCAAAGGGCCACAAAGATGATGAGGGCCCTGGAGCATCTCCCTTACGAGGAAAGGCTAAGGGACTTGGGTCTTTTTACTCTGGAGAAAAGAAGGCTGAGGGGGAATCTGCTCAAAATCTATAAATGCTTAAAGGGTGGGTGTCAAGAGGATGGGGCCAGTTATTTTTCAGTGGTGCCCAGTAAGAGGACAAGAGGAAATGGGCACAAACCTTAATATAAGAAGTTCCACCTAAACATGAGGAGGAACTTCTTCACTTTGAGGGTAGCAGAGCCCTGGAACAGGCTGTCCAGGGAGGTGGTGGAGTCTCCTTCTCTGGAGACATTCAAAACCCGGCTGGACACGTTCCTGTGCAACCTGCTCTGGGTGGTCCCGCTCTGGCGGGGCGGTTGGACTGGATGATCTCCAGAGGTCCCTTCCAACCCCATATCATTCTACGATTCTTCCCAAAGGCCACCTCCCTTGGCCGCGATCCCACAAGCTGCGGAGGAGCGTGTGGGAGAGGGAGCGGCGCCCCGCTTCCCCTCGCGGCGAGGCTTACCTGGGGATGTCAAACACCCTGTCCGCCATCCTGCTGCCGACCTAGGGGGAAAGCCCGCCGGTCAGCGCCGCGGGGCATCGCCCTCCTTCCCCCCGCGGCTGTTCTTTCCCTCCCTCCCCCGTCAGTCTCCGGGCCCGGCTGCCGCCTCGCCGAGGGGCCCGCCCCGGGTGGCTCAGTCACCACCGCCCCCACCTCCTCCCGCAGGTAGTCGCACTTGCCGGGCTCGGCCTGCAGCGCCGCCCAGTTCTTCTGCTTCCGCTTGAGCCGCCGGTCGAAGGGGCTCAACGCGCCCGAGCCCGACGAAGCCCCAGAGGCCGAGGATCTTCCTGAGGGCGCCCACAGCCGGCGACACCCACCGCCCCAGCCCGGCCGCACCACGGGCCGGCCCAGCCCCCTCAGGGCTCCCGCCGCCGCCGCCGCCGCCATCGCCTCAGGCTCGCGCCCGGCGCAGGCGCGGGAAACCCCACGCTCACACTTCCGGCGGCCGCGCCGTCTGATTGGCCGGGAGAGGTTTGTCCTGCCGCGGCCGCCGTCGCGCCGCCGGAAGCGGGTTGTGGAGGCTCTGCGTGAGGGAGAGTAGCCGGGTGGCGAGGAGGAGGAGGAGTGTGCGGTGGTGGTCGTCGCCATTAACGGTCGGTGGGCTCAGGGTGGCCGGGTATTTCGAGGGGGGTTCCCTGTTAGGGTCTGGTCCGTCTCTGAGGTCGGGGAGGGGGTGGGTAAGGCTTTGGTGCGGCGGCGCTCAGCTCTGCCGGTGGCACCCTCCTGGGCTGGCCTCTGGAACGCCGGCGGCCTTGCTGGCTGGCTCCTAAGCGCTGCTTTAAAGCGTGAAATACCCTCGTCCTGAGGCCTGGCTGATAATGGAACTCTTCAAAGTCCTCTTCGGGGTTGATAGGGGATCATTTAAGGTGGTGTCTGCAGCCCGTGTGAGCTTTATAGCTGCAGAGCCATTACCAGAGGAAGCTGAAGTGTGTGGTCAGCGCTGTGGTAGTTACAGGATTATTTGTGGCTCACCTGAATTGCTATATGTGCTTTGGAAAGAACTTTTTAGGTATAAGTCAGAAACCTAACTTTGGATAATTCTTTAATTTTTTCCAATTATGTATCTAAGTCTATGTTAATCAGTTTTTTAATCAGAAGTGGGCCTTTTTTTTGTTGTTCTTTTTCCATATTGTAGATGTCTAAGTCTTCAACAGCATCAAAAATGTCATCTCAAGAGGAAATACTGAGCGATGGGCGGTTTAGCCGCATTACGAGGGATCCCAGGTTTTGGGAAATGCCCGAAAAAGAGCGTAAAGTCAAGATTGACAAACGGTTCCGAGCTATGTTTCATGACAAAAAGTTTAAGCTGAAATATACAGTGGATAAAAGAGGTCGCCCTGTTAACTATACTTCTACAGAGAACCTCAGGAAATTTTATGCCCTGTCAGAATCTGACTCTGATATTTCAGAAAGTGACAGTAAAGAACTTACTGAAAAGAAAAAAAAGAAAAAAAAAGTGAAACCTAAAGGTCAAGCAGATTCTGCAAAACTATTTTCCGATAGTCTCCCTAGAAAGGAGAGAAAAACAAACAAACAAGGAGCGGACCAAACACATGAAGCTGTGACAAAGCTTGATGACCTTAAAAATGAAAGACAAAAAGCTACATCTAAATTCAACTTGAAAGAGGACTCTAAGAAAACTGCAACAGAAGTTGATCGCTCTCAGAGAAACAAGGGCCTTTTACATGAAGAGGACAACAAACAAGGAGATGCATCAGGAGAAAGATCAATTTCCATTCAAAACAAGCAAAAATCTTCACAGCCAAGTGGTACTAAATCAGTAAAAGCTCCCAGGAGGGATGGTTCTGTAGGAGGAAAAACAAAAGAATCAGGTTAGTTGTTGAAGTAACAACTAGAATTTGTTATGTTTACTTGGATGTTGTTGTTTTTGTTTAATTCATGGGACATCTTTCACAAGATCAGTCATAGAGTAGCTGACTGACTGGGATTCAGTGTTGCTGAAGAATTGGGGTTGGTTGGCTCTTTGCAGAATTGGTGCTGATTCTTCAGTAAGATTGTGAACATCCATGTCCTGTTAACTGTTGGAGCTGAAATTGTTGTTGGTATGGTGGCTAAAAAAGCAGAATGTGTAGTAGCATATACGTTATTTATCAAACTGAATATCAAATATAAGGTCTGATACCATGAAGACTTCAACACTTATTGACTGAAAGAGTAAGGGTGGCAGCATCAAGCCATTACTATGAGGGCATTAGAGAGAACAGGTGACTTGAAGAGAAAATTTCCTTATATTGCTTGTGCATGCCTATAGCCTACATTACTGAAATGTAATTTCTATGTATTGGTTCTGTGCATATAAATAGAATAACAGAATAATGTGTTTTCAGAGTTTGGTAATACAATTGTGGACCTAAAGAGCAATAGATTACACAAGCCAGTACTGATGGTTTATATTGTTTGCACTTCCCTCATGTAATTTGTTCCTGCATCATTATTCATTCCAGGGGTTCTGTAAGTCTGAGGTTTTTCACATATTTTTAAAGTGTCATATGTAATTGCAACATAAAAATAGATATCTCATGTTTATCTTTCAGTGACGGTGTGCCCAGACACCTGTGGTCGACGTGACATCAGTAAAAGCCAATCAGAGGAAGAAATTTCTGCAAGTGATGATTCTGAGTACGCAGAATCGGAAGAAGAAGAGCCAGAAGATGACAGGGAAACAGGCGAGGATGAGAAGTTAGAAGAAGATGGCGAAACAGGCGAAGACGACAGTGATTCAGAAGATGATGAAGAAAGCGACAGTGGGCCTGACCTAGCTAGAGGCATAGGGAACATTGAAACGAGCTCAGATGATGATGAGGATTTAAATGATCTATTTCCCAAGGAGCCAGAGATAGAGCATTCATGGCGCGAGCTGGATAAAGATGCCCCTCGTGGAGACGAGGTAACAATAATTCTGCATGTGAGAAGTTGCTACATGACAAACTCAGAAATATACACTGCTATGAATTCATTATAGACCTTCATCCATGAGTCGTTTTTTGGAAAGTATTTTCCATAAAACTTTTTCAGCCTTTTGATTACAGAATGCAGGTGATAATGAAACTGGCCGAGAGTGAGAGACTTGCAGTTTTCACTGGTATCTCCCTTTCCCTCTAAGAAGAGGCTTAGCTATAGGTGGCTGGATAAGCTATCTGTAAGTGAAAGAACAAGCAGAATTTAAATAGCATTGCTTTTGTTCACTATTGATTTTTTCACTTCTTTTAATTTTTTTAACTTATGCTTTAAGGAATTAAGAAATCATTAGACAGTGAATTAGGAATTTAAAACTGAGCACAATTAAGTGTATAAAAAAATCACAGTACTCTAGTGCTGTTACAATGCTGTGATACCAGTTGCTATTGTGACTAACCATGTGATGATAAAAAAATCATAAGTGCTGATGGTGTAACTGCAATCCTAAATCTGTGATTGGTGCAGTTTGTTTTGTGGTGGTTCACTATTTATATCCTTTGTATCACTTAAGGTCAGAAGCAGCAATCACCAGAGATGATAAAAAGGAGGAGAAAAATGCTACCTTTATTTTTTCAACAGGGTTTGTTGATGACTTTCATTTTTACCAAGGATAGTTGCAAGAGAGTTGTGTATTCCCCACAGCACTCAGGAATTAAACCTATGAACTTTATGTCCTTCCCCCTCCCCCTGTCCCCTCTGTTCAGATTACAAGAAGATTGGCAGTTTGTAATATGGATTGGGACAGGTTGAAGGCTAAGGATTTGCTGGCTCTATTTAATTCTTTCACACCCAAAGGAGGAACGGTATTTTCTGTTAAGGTAAGACCTGATTTCTATAAGGAGTGTTGGCTTTTACAGGGGAAAAAAAACCAAAAAAATAAAAAACAAACCAAAAAACACAACCAAAACTCCAACAAAAAACCCCCTCCCAAACCAAAAGGGCTACAAATCTTAATAAAGTAACTCATTTCTGTAGAAAAAACAAAAGAGATATTATGATAAATGTGAAACTGTTGCAATTTAACTTGCTGTGTTAGAAATAAACACCTGCTGCTTTTCAGCAAAGGGCAGGTATGTGGTGGATTTAGATCCTGAAGATGTTAAATTCTAATTTTTATGAGGTTGACTCTAAGCGCTACTAGGGAGACAGTACATTTCCTTGGCTAGTTTAATCTTCAGTGGTCTTTATGGTAGACAACCCAACCTTAAACTTGGCTATTTCTAAATGCTTTCCAACCCCTTCTATCATTGCACAACACTTCTTGTTTTTCACCACTTTTGAGTTTATTAATAAACTAGTTAAATTCTGATCACTTAAGTTATATTTTTCCATTTTTGGAAATGGAAAAATGCCTGCAACTTTCTGAGAAATTTTAGTCAAATACCCCTTTCTGAAAAGGACCACAGTGAAATGAACAAAGTCAGGGTTCCTGTTATTCTTCATCTGTCTCAAAACATTCTAATTCCTAGAAGGCAGTTTGTTTATTCTACTGTCTTTTCTGTAAATTAAAATTAAGATGGTATTAAAGTGTATGAAATTGATCTCTTTACTGATTTTAGAGAAAAAAGATAAAGTCTAAAAGGCTTGGTGAGATATTTTTTCTTAGTTGGAACAGTTAAAAAATTACATTTCTGTTGTTGTATTTGTAGATTTATCCCTCGGAGTTTGGAAAAGAGAGGTTGAAAGAGGAAGAACAAAAAGGACCTGTGGAACTATTCGATCTTCCAGAGAATACCACAGAGAATGATGGGTATTAAATTTATCTTCTAATGAGAGACATAATATGTTTAATTCTCAGTGAAAGTCCTGATCAACTTCTGTTTCCAGAATTTCATGTGTGGAAGGCTCCTGTGGGCACCTTAATTTTGTAGCTTTTTCAAGGGATGTTTTACAGCTGACCCTGGTTCATTGTCAGTGCATTCAATAAATGCATTATAATGAAACTTGAGAAAATTTGTGTGCTGATAATGGAGATCCAGATTTTTGTTATGTAGCTCATTGGAATAATAAATGGAAAAAATGCCGGGGAGCTTAACATGGCATTTCTCCTCTACAGACTGCCATCCTTGCTGTAAACTTCCTTTGTTGCTTACTGTCAAAATTTTTATCTGCGTAACCAACAGGGACCTTAAATTAGGCCAAGAATTCCCAGATTGAGATTTCTTGAATGCCACCAGGAGCAGCCCTGGCTTACCAGGCTGAGCTCATCAGGCCTACCATTGTCCAGGCTTCTTCAGGCATGTCTTTTTTTCTTCTTTTCTTTTTTTTTTTTTTTAATTTTTCTAATTTTTCCTTTTGTTCTGCTTGAAAGTGTTGTCTGTATGGAACTTGAGAGGTTTTGCTGTTACATTTTTCTCGAATTTCCAGATGTTTGGCAGACTGACTGGGGCTGCTTTTGTATAATACATCCTGCTGGACTGACGTTTAGAAAATCTGTATAATTCTAAAATAAGTGTAGATTCCTCTGAAGAAGGTCTCTCGTGCATCAGGGAAGTGTATGGTGAACTTACAGCACGTCCTGAAATCAGCTTCACTGTGTGCATCACGGTGCATCCTGAAGTGTTAGATTTACTGCTCGGTGGGCTCTTAAGCATCTGGAATACAACACA